AAAATACGTATAACACCAAATATTCTTAGACTTCATTTAATTATGATTATTATCAGTATTTGGAAGATCTTTAGAGTAATACAGATCCTCCGTATTTCTAGAATTTGCAGAATTCTCAGTATTTTCAGAATTCTAAATTAAGAGATCGTCATACTGTGTCATTCACGTAACTTCATTATGACTGGTTAATTGCTCTGTTGATACCATAATATTTACAATTTGATTCAAATAATCTGACACAAAATCAAACTACAAGTGATGCTGGTTCGATGTATCTTGCACTTATGAATCAGCAGCAGGAAAATCTAACATTTCATGTTGATGCACGTTTTGAAGGTTAGGATAATCATTTTGTTGGACTTTGTTAGATGTGTCCAAGTCAACAAGAATTGTGAGCTCATTTTCATGATATAATTTTACTTGATATAACAGCAAAACAAATCGTTATTCAATGATTTTATGTGTTGTAATATTGGTAGATAATCACAATCGCTCTTGCCTTGCAGCAACCGCTATAGTGTCAGATGAAACAAAAGACACCTTTTCATAGTTATTCATGAGTCTTTCTAAAGCAACGGGAGGATTAATACTATCCTTACTTTATACAGATGCTGATCTCACAATGATTGCAGCAATAAACAGCATCTGGCCAACAATAAAACATCATTTTTGTTTATTTCATTTTAGAAAAAACTTGGAAAAGCATTTTCTTAACAAGTATCATGGTGAAAAATGGAACAAATTTTTTGCAGCTTTTTGTTATACACGCAATAATCGAGTTGAATCAATTTTTGAAGAGAGATGGGCTGCATTGTTGCAGGAATATCCTGATGCCACTAGTTATTTGCAACGTTATCTTTATCCATATAAAGAGGCTTGGATATTGTATTTTACACACTGTGCATTTAATGCTGAAATACAAAGTACATAACGCATAGAGTCATAAAATAGTATTATTAAAAACAATGTTAATGGACTATCTTCACTTACAGAGTTTGAGCATACAATTGAGAGGTTATTAGCAAAAGAGAGCAAATTTATAAAGTTAAATGAAACTATTGGTAAGCTTCCTGTAAGTCAAGATGAAGATTATCATAATCATTACTTTAAAGAAGTTGACATATCATGTCAATATTTCTTAACACTGGCAATTTTTAAACTCCAACGACATGAAATGAATTACAGTATGCATTATCAATGTCATCTATCTAATTTGGAATATGAACTTAAGGCAATAGGTATAGATCAGATTTTATGATTATGATTACTTATGTAGGTTACAGTATGTTTTTCTGAAGACCAATTTCCCAAAAGAACATTTTCCCAAAAACCTTAAACAGAGTTACTATAATTAAACTGAACTTTTTGGGAAAATGTCCTTTCAGGAAAATGACATTCAGGATAATTTCTGATATTCTCATACTTATATATGGTTAATTGTTTTTTTTTAGGTAACTGTTAAATCACCAAGAGGCATGTTTTCTGAAGATATGTTTGATGCATGTGTAATAGAACTCGCGCAGTTAATTATAGATTTAGATCTAACAAGAATACGTGAACTTTGGCGTATTTCTTCTATTAATAAAAAAAGCAAGCATTTTATTGTATTATATGATAACGCTATGCATCTGTGTACATGCTTGATATTAATTAATCATGGTCTTGTATGTCGTCATTTTTTTGCAACAATGCTTGTTTCTTCAATTGCTAAATTTCATATTAGACTTTTACCACAGCATTGGTATACAAATATATCAGTTATAGAAGCAGATTCAACACTTTCAAATGTACTAGCAATTTCATTGTTATCAAATAATGGATTTAGTATAGTAAAACATGCAGTAGAACTGGATTTCTCTTATTTAGAAAGCATCCGCAGATGTCATGTTTTTATTAAGAAGATTTACCAAGAAATGACACGAAAACAACAATGAGGAAAAGGGTTTAGATTAATGAAAAAACACTTAATTTAGCAATTGAAATAGGCAGAATAGAAGAGCTTTACAAAATACATGATAAGCTTATCAAAGAGATGAAATTTGAAGTGACTCAAATTGTGCAAGGCAATGAAACTACTGAATTTGCTTGTATTATTAGCAACCCAATCAGCATTAGAAAGAAAGGTTGAAAGCCCAAAAATGTGAGTGGGAATCATAAAGGCAAAAAAAGACAAGTGGTTGAATGTAATCAGAATAAAGAAAATAGCATTTATGATAATGACATGGAGAATTGCCACATAAAAGGCTTCAAAAAGCATTATAAGATAATTTAAATACAGGTATGTGTAAGTTTTAAATTTTTATCATTTATCATATAATTTCATATTTGTTAACATTTCTTTTATTTAGTGAATTTAGAATTAAATGAGAATGTAGAAGACAAAAGTAGTAAAAGCACATTTAGACGATGTTGAATTTGTAGCCAAAAAGGTTATAATGCGTGAACTTGCTTAAATAACAATTGAGTCAAGAACTAAATTTGTAGCTTATTAGTACTTTGTTTTTATTTTTTAATAAAGATCACTTTAATATATACATTGAATACTTTTTCTGATTCCAATCGATACAAAAATTTTACATGCATATTTGAAATTAAATGATAAAGTATAATAGATCGAAATAAAATGATGCCTTGCATATATATGAAGCTAACGATACCTATTGCATTGCTTGCTAAACCCATTGCATTATTTACCTATTATATTACTTACTAATCACTGGCCTCTCGATATTTCGAAACTTTGATAAGTCAGACTATAAGTAAAAAAAAAATTTTTTAAATTGTAACAATTATACCAATTAAAATATTTCTGCATAGACGCATAGAATTTCCCATCCATTATATGCCCAAAACAAAAAAGACTAGTGGTATCCTTTATACAAAAATTATCCCAAACGAATATTTTACTTCGATCCTTTGGCATTAGACGAACTGGCCTTTTATTCTTATACCAATGCTTTATCATATTACAGTATAATTAGAAAGCCATTTTGTCACTAAATAAGGTCTTTTTCCAATCATTATCTTTATATTTTTAGGCCCATTCAACATGTTTTTACTTATGGGCTAGTGTTAGCATTAGTGTATAAAGAGAAAGTATATTTCGATATCCAAGGTTAGCAAAATGTCTCGAAACTGTTAAGCAGGAGACATTTACTCCAATATCTTCCAATTTAGTAGCAGCAGACTTAACAGAAAGTGAGGGTCCCTTCGAATATACTGTCCAATTACCCAGAATGCACTTGATGTTATTTTTTTAATATGTCCACTACCACTTTTATATTTAACATACAAGTAACTTTAATTTTTTTAAAAGTTTCAGTGGAATCTTTGTCAATGAGTATTTTAACAATATTGCAAATCCTTATAACGCATTTAGATGATGCTAAAGCTTATCGATAGAGTATCATAAGGCTTATTTTATGCATATATCAGTTACACTTATCGATCTTTTTTTAAAAATTCTGATATATTAAGCTTCGATAAATTCCTTCATATTACTAAATAATATCAATAAATTAGAATACATAAATTTTGAAATCTGAGTCCAAAATATTAAGACCGCCTATGTATTACATCTATTATATTATTTTCTAATCGCTATATCTATTACATTTGGTTTTATTGATTACTAGAAAAAAAACCATAGTAAATTGCAATATTAAAAAAAAACAAATTTGAGATGTCAAACACCAGTGGTTTTGAGCACCAGTGGTGTGGTTTAGTAAAGCCGTTAATTATTTAGATATTTTTTATTAAAATCAATTAAGAAAAAATTAAATAATTATGATATATTTAATAAATTTGATACATAAATTTTTACTAATATAATAATAATGCTTTTATATATTTGATTAAAATTAAGTTCTTACGAATCTGATAAAAAAGTAACTGTTATGTAAAAATTGAGATCATTAAGATATTTTTCCTGATGAAAAGAATAATAAGTAAGTTAATTAATTATTTTTATAAATTTAAAAAAAAATTTTTTTAAATAATTAAAGAATCTAAGAAAATCTAAAGCTAAATGATCTAATATATTTTAAAAAATATAAGCTTTTTTTATGATATTTATATAATATAAGTGCAGTATTTGTGATTGAATTATATAAAACTAAAAATATATAGTATTAAAAGCTATAATTATTATTAGTTAAACCTTAATATATTTTTTAGATAACAATATATCTCTTATAGTAAATTATTAAGTTTAAGATACATTTTATAATTAAACAAAATTATATTAAATTTTTAATAATACAGTCAACTCTTATTATAATGAACTCTATATCTTAGACCTTAACTTTGCTATAAGGCTATAGTGAAGATTTAAGAAATTGATTAGCCAATTCACTATAACAAGAGTATTTTTATTATATTTGTTCAAAATTTTTGTTATATCAAGAGTTCACTATATCAAGAGTTGACTATATAAATAAAATAAATATCAATTGCTAATAAAATTAGATATAATAAAAGAGAATCTTTTAATAAGAATATAATTAATTAGATAGATAAATTAATAATAAAAATAAGAAAATAATAATATATATTTAATTTAGCTGTTAAACTTGTCTCCCGTAATTAAATCTCAAATGTTGTAATGTTGCAATAAATGATCCCTTTTATTGCAACAAAACTGTAATATTACAATATACCGTACTGTAATTTTGCAATATAACGTTGCAATATTAGCAAAAACTTATTTTATAATTTAAACAAATACATTTTTAAGA